GTACACACTACACTGTGTATTTTTACTAAGGTCATGTACACACTACAATGTGTATTTTTACTAAGGTCATGTACACACTATATACTGTGTATTTTTACTAAGTTCATGTACACACTATACTGTATATTTTTACTAAGGTCATGTACACAGCATACTGTGTACACTACTTGGTATACTGTGGTGGTTTGGGTAATCTCTAGAGGGTAAACATCAGTCACTCAAAATATATTTTCCTGCCTTAAATATGCTGCGAGTGCCTCTCTTGCAAACTCTGATGAGGAGAATGAGGAAGTTCTTCTCCAGCAGTTCCTGTAAGATTTTGACACTAAGTAGCTTGGAAACTCCAAGCAGGACACAAGATGGCTGACTGAGAACAATTGTATATAGTAAACTTTGTATATAGTGCAAAAATACTTATTACATTTTTCTTTAGATTTTTTTTACCTTATTTATTGTAAAGTTTGCAGACAACCATCCATTTGGCAGACAATCAGATTCTGTTAAGAGGTTGTTCAATGGACAACCTGGAAAATTTTCTGATGTCTACCCCTGATAAGAGTACCTGTATTAATTCATGTTTACATATTAACATGGACCTTTTTAAATATACAAATGCACACGTTTAAAATCTGTATTTTGCATTGTGAAGTGGGGTCTAGGTATATTCTTGCTTACTTCCATTTCTTTGACATTGTTTATTTGTCATTTTTGTATATTTGTTACTAGAGTCTATGGCATCATTATCTTACCCAAAATAAATAAATACATTTATATATATATATATGTGTGTACTTATTTATTTTCCTTCTGAAGTTTGATGTTTCATATTTGCGTGCACTTTTATCAATGGTTGGTTTTCTACCAACAGATTCTACCACATCTACTGGAAGTAGCTATGGATGTATTTGGGCACGTGGTGCCTGACTTTACACGTGCGTGTTAATATCTGTACAAAGGACCACAGGGATGAGATGCTGGATGTGTCCCCCAATGCAACAAAAGGTAAGCTAAAAAGAAAGCTCACTAATGGAAATCAGTAAAATTTAAAGGGAAAATCTAATTAGGAAAGATGGAAAGTCTTTAGGAAATAAATATAAATCAACTGAATGTGTACAAAAACAGATCGTGTGTTCTCCAGACCTCAGTGACAGGACTGTCCTCTTCTAGGTGACTACAGTGCAGAGCCAGAAGACCCATAAGTCTGAGAACTTTGCTCCGCCTGTAAAGCATTTGTTGAACCAAACATCATTAAAATAAGAAAGAAAGGAAATGTGTTGTTTCTCAGTTTGAATATCAATACAGGTATTTTTCTATAAACACTTTTTTCAGCTGCAGCATTTCTAAAATTGACATCTTCTGCTAAAAGTAACACATGAAATCAAAACTAGAGATTTGTTTAATTGTTTATAAAACAGAAATCTTTATCATAATTTCATTTTTACAGAAGAACATCCATGATTTACTTACACGTCCCAGTTTGGAGCTTGCCGTAACTGATGGGTCAGTACTAGAAGCTAAATGACAGTGTAAGCAGGCAGAAAGAAGACAAAAATACATGATCAAGAAAGTAATCTTTAGAAAACTATGAACAAAATATAAAACATGCTGTTTAAATATGTTATGTCAAAAAAAAAACTAACGTCTGAACAGAACTGTTGATTCAAATATTTATTTATTTTTAAGTTTATTTTATCCAAAGGGGGGGAGGGGGGTAGAAGGACAAAACAAACACCGACAAATTATAACAGAACTGGTGTTAATGGTGTTAAAAATAATATTTTTAAGGTTACGTTTTAACATGTTTTGATGCAGCTTATTCTTATAAGTTTTTATCACTTTCTAATTAGCACAAGAATGTTACTACAAAAATATATATATATATTCCAGCAGAGAACCAAAGAAAATGTGTCATACCAGGGGTGAGTTCATCAGCTTGTTAGAGATAACTTTATTTCCTGCTACACAGCAGAGGTAGCACAGCAGATTGAGTCTAGCTCGAACAGCTGTAGACTGAGGAGGAGCATTAGAGATGGGGAGGGACGAGGAGTTCTGCTCTTCAAGACATGACTGCAGTTGTAGCAGAAAGGCAGTCCACTCCTCATCGTTCAGGGAGAGCAGCTTCTCAACTACAGGAGAAGGAAGGGAAGAAATCAAATTCAAGATGATTTCATGCTACTGAGCGCGTGATGGGATCCTGACTTTGTGTAAATCAGAAAACGTACCTGAATGTGCTGGTACGCAGAGGGTTTTGGGATCAAATCGAACAGGAGGACTCTTAAGAATCTGTAGAAGTCATAAGAAAACAATACTTCACTGAACCAACATGATTTGGTTTTAGCCATGCTGTCCTGCTTTTCCTTTTAGTTGTTCCCTCTTCAGGGGTCTCCACAGCGAATCATCCTCGATCTCACTCTGTCCTCTGCGTCCTCTGTCCTCACTCCAACTACCTCCATGTCCTCTCAAAATGCATCCATATATCTCCTTTTTGTCTTTTTCCATGCTTTTGTCAGAAATCACTCCATCCTGCCTCTCTTCTTCACCTTTTTACCACACTCCCCATTTTCCTGGGCAGTGGACCCCGAGTACTTGAAGTTCTACACCTTTGTGACCTCTGCTCCTTGTAGCCTCACTGTTCCACCGGCCTCCTTCTCATTCACACACACGTACTCTGTCTTACTACGGCTGACTTTCATTTCTCTTTTTTCAAGTGCATACCTCCACCTCTCCAAGTTCTCTTCCACCTGTTCTGTTCTCACCACAGATCACAATGTCATCTGCAAACATCATAGTCCACAGGGATTCCTGCCTGACCTCAACTGTTAGTTGGTCCATCACCAGAGCAAACAAGAAGGGGCTCAGAGCAGATCCATGATGAATCCCACCTCCAACTTGAAGCTATCTTTCACTCCTACAGCACATCTCACCACTATCCTGCTGTCCTCATACATGTCCTGCACCAGTCTGTCATGTCCTGCT